CCAGATGACAGGAAGCCCTAGACTCTGGACCGTGTACCATCTTGGGCATATCTGGAATATTGTGCTCGTTTCTTGAGAAGCCTGTTCTGACTCACCAGTGTGTTTCCAGAGGCCAGCAGCCAGGGCTGTGTGGAGCTGGCACCTGTGTCCCATGAGGAACAGTTGAACAAACTGGGGCCTCTGACCAGGAGCAGGTGCAGGATGATAGCTTCTGTGGAAAGCAGCTGACTCTCCTTGTGTGGCAGAATTAACACTTACAGAGTTAGGGTGCAGTTAGCCTAATAGAAATGAGAACTGTGTACTGTGTAGCATTGTCTGTTTGCCCTTGATAGCTGGACTTTATTGAGCACGGCCCAGCTTTAGGTGTTGTGGAATGTGCTCTGTACATTATCATTTATCCTCATACCCACCCATAGGTTGAAGTGCTGTGGTCCTCATTGGACAAATAAAGCAGAGATTCAAGTTTAGTAATTTGGTGCAATGTGCCATAGGTGGTGAATGGCAGAGCTAAAACTAGAACTGGAACTAACCTAGAGCCCTCCTCTTAACTACTGTCTGCTACTCAGAAGTGTTGAACAAGGGCAGACTAACCACCTTCCACAGCCACTGCAGAAAGATGCCTGCTTTTGGGGAGTTGCAATTTGCTACCCTGGAAGGCCCTTTCCAACCCTGGCATTATGGGACCTCGGTCTCACCTCACTGGCAGTATGCTGCGTTCGCACTGCAGCCCAGTATGGTGACATAGCCTCCAGCAAGCCTTCCTCCGGCAGCCTGTATGCAGCATACAGGGGGGCCACCAACTCCTTGGCCTTGACTGTACTCTGCTGCTCACCTCCCTTCACAGGCCCAGGGACTGGCTGTGTCATCTCACCTTTCCCTTAGCAGCCAGAATGGCTACTTCACATGGTGGACATCTGTTCTGGTCACTTTCTCATGGTGGGTCCCAAGTGGTTTCTGATGCATGTTTCCTTCTAAAATCCCAGGATAGAATATGTAACGGTGACTCCAGAGGGATTCCGGTACCGGGGCCAGATCTTCCCAACCGTGAATGGACTCTTCAGATGGTTTAAGGATCACTACCAGGATCCTGTACCAGGTGAGTTCTGCTCTTCCGACTTCAGGGGTATATGGCTGGAGGAACACCCCAGACCAGACTCAGAGTAGTCCCAGCCTAGGGGAGTGGTGAGGAGTAGGCTGTCATTGCAGGTATCGTACTAGTCCCCCAGCCTCCTAGCATCAGGAACGTTCTCCATCCACTGTGCCTATGCAGCTTCCCTTCATCCCTCCTCCTACTTCAGTGCCCCTTCCAGCCCACTGAATTGGAAAACCAAAAATAGGTTTCTGGAGGGATGTAACCAAGTAGCCCTTCCTGCAGGCATCACCCCTAGCAGCAGCAGCAGGACCCGGACACCTGCCTCTATCAATGCTACCCCAGCCAACATCAACCTTGCAGGTGAGGAGCTAGAGCCTGGAACTGGAGGTGGGAAGGATGGAACTAAAGGGACTTTCACCTCTAACATGCCCCTCTCCCTCTCTGTGTGCTTACAGATCTGACACGGGCCGTGAATGCCCTGCCCCAGAACATGACTTCACAGATGTTCAGTGCCATTGCTGCGGTGACAGGCCAAGGACAGAATCCTAATGCCACCCCAGCCCAGTGGGCCTCCAGCCAGTATGGCTATGGCGGCAGTGGAGGCGGCAGCAGTGCTTACCATGTACGTGACTTGGGAAGGAGGCTCCCTGTACAGGGTGGGGCCCATAAACTGGCCTCTTGCACTGCCCACAAGGGGCTTCACATGCACAGATGGGGCTGCCATGGCCTTGGTAATTGTCTGCAACAGATACTCCTTGTTCTCAGGCCCATTTAAAGGGGAAGAGAGTAAGAGAAGGCATGACCTTTCCACAGGACTTTGGGATCTTTGGAATCCACAAGCCACTAGAAACCTGACGTGGTCGGGACTGGTGGGCCCCACTGTGTGCTAGGTGCCAGCCTGCAGGTTTCCCACTGCTGGTCAGAAGCACATACTCAGTGGAGGATCATCTGGAAATCTTTGCTGAGCCCACACTTGTGCTTACCCAGAATTCACAGCAAGGCCAGACAAACCCCACACCCATCCCCATTTAACTGTTCATGTCTCTCCAGGTATTCCCAACGCCAGCCCAGCAGCCAGTGGCCACACCACTGATGACCCCTAGCTACTCCTACACGACCCCAAGCCAGCCCATCACCACCCCTCAGTACCACCAGCTCCAGGCCAGCACCACCCCACAGTCGGCCCAGGCCCAGCCCCAGCCCTCCTCCAGCTCCCGGCAACGGCAACAGCAGCCAAAGTAAGTATCTGGATGCTGTCACAGTGCAGGTCAGTAGTGGGGGCAGGTGTTGTCAAGAAGCTGAGAGGGGCCGGGCGTGGTGGCTCAAGCCTGTAATCCCAGCACTTTGGGAGGCCGAGGCGGGTGGATCACGAGGTCAAGAGATCGAGACCATCCTGGTCAACATGGTGAAACCCCGTCTCTACTAAAAATACAAAAAATTAGCTGGGCATGGTGGCGCGTGCCTGTAGTCCCAGCTGCTCAGGAGGCTGAGGCAGGAGAATTGCCTGAACCCAGGAGGCGGAGGTTGCGGTGAGCCGAGATCGCGCCATTGCACTCCAGCCTGGGTAACAAGAGCGAAACTCCGTCTCAAAAAAAAAAAAAAAAAAAGAAGCAGCTGAGAGGATTAGCATAGGCAGGTGCTCTGGATCCACTGAGGGTCCTGACCATGTAATATATCAGGAACACTAGTTTCTGGGGGAAGACAGAAGAGGGCAGTGTGGCAACCAGCTGCTGTTGCATCTGCCTCACCCCAGCAAAGGGGCTGCTGCCCATAGGTGTGAGGTCCCTTTCTGGAAGGGTGGATACTCCCCAGTGATTGGTGGGAAGACTTCCTTTTAACAAAGTCCCAATCTAAATTTTTCTTCCTCTCCCAGATCCAACAGCCATGCAGCCATCGACTGGGGGAAGATGGCGGAGCAGTGGCTGCAGGAGAAGGAGGCAGAACGGCGGAAACAGAAGCAACGGCTGACACCTCGGCCCTCCCCCAGCCCCATGATCGAAAGCACCCCCATGTCCATTGCTGGCGATGCCACCCCACTCCTGGACGAGATGGATCGGTAGGGGGCCTGCTCCTCGGACTCTGGTTACCTCTGAGGCTGGGAAAGGCCTGGCCGCCCACTGCCTCCCTCCCTGCCCCTCCTTTTCTGTCCATAAAGTGGCGTGAAGTGACGTTCTCTTTGGTGGTCAACCTGGATGGGTGACAGGCTAGATGGCCTTGTGAACTTGAGCTCAGTGTATACTAGGCAACAATTCTCCCACTCCAGACCCTCGCTGACCACCTGTCCTGGGACCAGGCTGGGAGGGGAGTGTGGCAGGGAGGAGGAAGAGGAAGGTGAGAATGAGTGGAACAGTTCTGTATTCTCCCTACAAGCCATTTTGAACTTCTGCCCTCACCGGACTCTGGGCTGTGACTGGGGCACCAAGCTCAGCACATGAGTCTCCCCTAGCTCTTGTGGGGAGAGGGATGCTATTTATTCAGTTTGGGGCAGGAGGGAGAAGAGGTAGAGTATTTCTGATCCTGATGCCAACAGCCGGGTAGCTGTCCAAGCAGGATTGCAAGGGACAGAGGGAAGCAGCACTCACCTGCCCAGCCCCTGCCTGGCTGCCCTCTCCCACCTTCTGCCACCACCGCTTCCTGCCTGTCATTTGAATAAACAGTGTTTCTACGGAGCCCTTGCCAAAGCCTCTCTCTCCAACTCTCCGGCTCTTTGAGGGGTGGCTTTCAAAGCAGCGTTTGGAGCTCCAAGGACTCTCCTGACTCCCTCTTCTGATCCATCAGAGGCAGAGATTCATAGACTAGGCAGCTTCTGCATCAGACTGCCTGGGGCCCATCCCTGCTGTACTTCCCGGCCCTGTGAACCTGTGCCAGCTCCTGCAGTCTTTCAGCTGTAACATGGAGATAGTGATACCTGCCTCATCATCTGCTGTGAAGACCGAGGCAGCGTGTGCAAGCTCCTTGGCCCAACGCCTAGTACCTCGCAAATGTTACCCGCTATACTACACCCACTCACTCACAGCACAGCTGCCCCATCCGCCGTGCCTGCTGGTTTTCTCTAGCATATTGGAGAAAGACCACAAGTAAATCTGGGTTTCTCAACTTGAGCCTCTGCCGTTCATCTCTTCCGTTTTTGCAGCTGGGCCTTGGTCTCTGACAAGCTCCCGGGAGTCAGGTGTTCCTGCCCCAGCAGGGGGCCCCACCCACCTGCTCCCCTCCAACACACTGGCTTTGGCCCTTTGTCCATGCCCCACTGCGTTTTTTGTTCTGGACTCCTGCACTCCCTGTTTCTGTACAAGGGCTTCGTCTCACTCTGAGTCAGTGCTAGGACAGTGGGGTCTCTGGCACCCTTTCCTCTGCTTGGGGCTTAACACAGAAGTCAGAAAAGGCCGCTGCCGCCCAGACATGGCACACTCCCTCCCCTTGCTTTTCTTCTTCAAGAGCTGGGGGAAAGGAACCGCTTTGCCGGGAACTCAGGTCTGCTCCCTTCAACACAAAAGGACTACAAGGGTCCAGGAGCAGGACCACACCAGCTGGGAAGGTCAGTTCCCAGCGGTACTACGAGCACCTTCCTCAGAGCCACTTAGAGGAGGGAAAGGCCAGGCACAGCGGCATAGAGTGGGTTAAAAAGTTCCGTTTATTGGGGATGTCGCTGCAGACAGTACTGCCTGTCCCAGAAATGGGTTTCACACAGACCAGTCTCTCCCAGGAGAGAGGGGAAGCCCTCATTCCCACCCCAGATGCATTCTTTTACCCTTGTCTTAGGGTGTGAGGAAGAAACAGGCTGTGCCCCTGCCTTTCCCTCCCGCCTGCCTTCCCATGGGCTTTCTCGTGAAAGCAGGATTGCCTTTGAGCCCTGAGCCCACCCCCTGCTCCCCAAGAAACAGCCAGGTTGGAGGGAGAGAACAGCAAGCAGGGGGCCAGTCACAGGCTCTATGGCATTTATTCTGCACCCTGGCCTCAACTGAGATTGGGGTTTGATCCTGGGGGAGATTTTCTCTTGTTTACCTTCCTGGTTTGTGAGGGCTTTGCCCCTGTCTTCTTGGCCTGGACTGTGTTCTCTCTCTTCCTGGGTGATGACGATTCCACATTATCCTCGCTGGACGGGTGCGCCTGCCCCCGGCCACTGTAACTGTCCTCGCTCTCCAGGTCTTCCCGGCTTTCTGGACTGGACTCAGACATCCTGGCCAGCTGTCTTGGGCTTAATGATCGGCTCACGTCTGGAGGGGAAGGCTCTGATTTAACCGGGCTTTTCTTCTTAGTCAATTTGCCCTTGGCTTTTTTCTTCAGCTTTGCCTTCTCATCTGTGTCCTCCTCGTCTTTCTCTTTTTCCTTTTTCTTCTTTACCTTTTTGATCACCTTGCTGCTCTGGCCCTTCCCTGTGGGGCTTTCAGAGCGCCAGATGGTGATGGGTGCTGCAGAGTCAGGGGTACCAGTGGCCATGGTGGTGCCTAGGTCAGGGGAGGCAGTGGCGGGCCCCACCTGCGCCGGGATAGGAGGCTTGCTTTCCTCCACCTCTTCCTCTTCTTCATTTACATCATCTGCCCCACACTCATGGTGAAGGGGATGGTGGATCACTGCCACGGAGACAGGTCTGTAGCTTTCACACCTAGGAGGAGGGACGACGGGAAGTTTGACAGACAGGTGGGGGCAGTGCCCTGTAGAGGCCCCTTCCCCATCAGCCCACTGGAGCTCACTCACCAGCCATACCAGAACCGCTCCACATGCTCCTCCTCCGGGGTGAGCTCAAAGCAAGGGGACTTGATGACACGGGAGCAGGTTGGGCCCCCGCCCCAGGAGCTGCTGCTATTCTCTGAGCAGTCCTTCCGCCTGCCATACATGGGACTCTCAGCCTGTCTCCCATCACTCTCCCAGGGACCCAGAGCCAGAAGCCTGAAGGACAGTGGGCTTCCGCTGGGCCTGGCCCAGGCCACCAACAGACCTCCTCCCCATTGCTCTTAGAGCAAAGCAATGTGTGGAGAGCTGGGGCTGGGCCAGCAGCACCAGGTCAAAGCTGAAGAGGCTAAACCAAAGGTTGAAGGGGGGACCACAATGAAAGTCTGGACATGGCTCTGCCATGGGTTCTCCAAGTGGGGGGCTGTGTCACCTAGAATTGCAGTCGCAGTGCTTGACAGAGTGTAGGTGCAGGCTGTGGCGGCCACAGTCAGAGGCAAAGGGGTAGATGATGTGCCCAGTGCACTGCTTGTGTTTCCGGCAGCACCTGTCAGACTCCTTGCAGTCACCTGAGGGGAAGGGGGTCTGGGTCACTCAGCAGCAGCTGCAGACCTCTGGGTCTTCTCACAGCTCAAGATAAAACCTCACCAAATTCACCTGCTGCCACCAGCTGCCCCCACCCCAAGAAGTATTTTGCTTCAGTAGTAGTAACTTAGCCTCAGAGTAACCCCGGGTCCCAGCAAAATGTCTGGTTCCATGTCCAGTACACAGGAGGCCCTCACAAGCCCCTGGCTGTCCTGTGACTCCCTGTTCCTTCCGTCCTCTCCCTCCAGTGGGAGGCCTCCACCGGCTCCTGCCTGCCCCTCACCCAGCTACCCGCAGTGAGTGGCGGCCCTGCTCCACAAGGTCCCTGGTAGGAGAAGGCCCTCCTACCATGGCACCCTGGAGCTCCAGGAGCAGCAGAGCTGCAGCATCCTCAGTTCCTACACCTGCCCTGGCCCACTCTGACCCCTCACAGCCTGGCCAGGAGCTAAGGCCTGCATCATACTCCTTAGCTTTGGACAGGTCCTTCCTTCCCCATTTCCCCCTCCTCCCATCTCCTCTAAGCACCTTTTCTCCTCCCACCTGACACTTTTCTCACTCCCCTCCCTTCCCATCCCCTCTTCTTCATCCTTCCCCTGCTCTTCACTCAGCATGTTCCCATGCTCTCCCCAGTCCCTAGAGCTCCAGGCTTTCGACCGACCCACCCGCAACCTAGGCACCCTTTTAGGCAGTGCAGAGACCACATCCCTTTTCCCAGGGCACAGGAAGAAGCTGCTGGGGTGAGAATTCGGGGTTAGGGAAAAGCCCTGTAGGAAGGCTCCCATCTCTGTTGCTCAGCTCAATGCCAGTCCTAGAGACCGGAGAGTTTCCTAGGTCTATCCCCACTGCCTCTCCTCTGACCCTCCCTGAGGCCCTCATCTACCACTGGCTGTCCCCTCCTGGCAGTGTCTCAAAGGTAAGCCCAAGAGGCAACTCTGTGCCTCTCACAGCCAACGATCTCACTCACCAGGCAGAGGATAAGGGACCTTACCTCAGGTTCCCTGGCGCCCCTGGGGGAGGGAGGGAGCAGGCACCGGCCTGGGGTCCTATGGCTGGCTTACCCTCAAAGAGGCTGTGAGGATTGTGCCTTCGACAGCCCCCAGGAGGAGTGGAACTGGGGTGAAACCTCATACCCGCCACCAGCCAGGAATGAGCCCAGGCTGTGGCAGTGAGTCCAAGTGGCCTCACAGTGCTCAGAGGTGAACCAGCAGCTTGGCCTGGGGCTTACCCACATTTCTCCTTCCTTCCCTTCCCCACACGAGGCTGTGAAGTCCTGGGACCTCACTACACCGCTGACCCCTCTGGTGATCTCTGTATCTCTTTCCTCCCCTCCGGTACCCTTAATCACCAGGGGAGATGAGGAGGCACAGTGTGTGGCAGGCACCACCACCAGCTCAGCCTCCCTCACCACTGCTGAGCTGGGCCAAAGGGCAGCATAGTGGCAAAGTGCCCTGAACTTGTAGTCAGGCCTGAGCCCAAGTCATGGGTCTGTCACTTACTAGTCGTGTGGCCTAGGGCAAATTCCTTTATTTATCTGAGCCTTCAGTTTCCTTATCCACAAAATGGGATGGTGGTCATACCTATTTTGCAGGGTTGTTGGGAGGACTCAATTCACATATGTCAAACATACTTATGTGCCCTAGTGCTATACAAAGGAATAGGGTGATTGTGGCCTTGAGAAAGGGGTCCCTCTGGCATCTGTAGGGGATGGGTTGAGGATGGGACAGCTGGGTAACCCTTCTGGACCAAACACTTCCCTCCCTCCTTGCCTCAGGACCAAACTCCCACCAGGTGCCAGCTTTCCCAGGTGAGGGGTGATGGGGGACTGCTGGGTCAAAGGTCTCCTGGACCCACCTTCAGAGGAGATGGTAGACACATCAGTGCTGGATGCCACATCAGCCAGCAGATGTCCTCTCTTCCAGCTGGGAAACCTGTTTACATCTGAGAGAGCACAGAGTGGCAGTGGTGGCAGCAGCCCCCTCCCTGTGCCATTTATTCACCAAGCATATCCCAAGAAGCGCCACTTGTCAGGCCCCCACTGCATCCTGGAGATGCAGAGATAAAACAGCAGTCCCTGCTCTTGAGGGGTTGTGGGAGGGGAAAGGGACACAGGGGAAGTTCATGACAGTAGTGTGATACAGATGCTGACAGAGGGAAATGGTAGTAGCACAGGACAAGGGCCACCTACCAGGACTGGAAAGGAGGATGAGGGATTACGGAAGACTTCTTGGAAGGAGCATCACTAAGAGTGATTAATAGGAGCCAGCCAGGGTCTAGGCAAGGAGGGACTGCTCCAGAAACTATCCCAGGGTGTGTGGAGTTTGGACAGAGGGTGACCCTGAGCAGACCTCCAACAGGGGCAGCAGCTCCCTCAGCCATCAGCAACCACAAGACAGAGTCTGCCCCTCTGCCTTTCCATCCCACAACTAGCTTTGTCCCTTGAGCCACTGGACTTGAGGCCTGCTTAAGGAAGAGAAGCTGATTGCTTGGGGTTTTCAGCAGGCCTTCATGGCACTTGGTCATCCTCCTACAAGTCTCTGACCAGCTCCTCCACCTGTTTTCCACAGCACAGCCAGTACTCAAAATTCATGAAATGAACAAACGAGTGAATGAATGAATGACTTTAAGCACTTCCTGGAAACTCCTGCAACCACTGTTTCTCTCAGCAGATAATTTCACCAGCATTATCTGTGGAAGTTCCAACCATCATCAGCTTTTCTTCCCTAGGAAAGGGTGTGCCTCTTTTTTTTTTTTTCGAGACAGAGTCTTGCTCTGTCGCCAGGAGCCAGGCTGGAGGGCAGTGGCGCAATCTGAGCTCACTGCAATCTCCGCCTCCTGGGTTCAAGCAATTCTCCTGCCTCAGCTTCCCGAGTAGCTGGGACTACAGGCGCGTGCCACCAAGCCCAGCTAATTTTTGTATTTTTTAGTAGAGACGGGGTTTCACCATGTTGGCCAGGATGGACTCGATCTCTTGACCTTGTGATCCGCCCACCTCGGCCTGCCAAAGTGCTGGGATTGCAGGTGTGAGCCTCCGCATCCAGCCGAGACTCTGTCTTAAAAAATAAACTGGCCAGGCATGGTAGCTCACATCTGTAATCCCAGCACTTTGGGAGGCTGAGGCAGGCAGATAACCTGAGGTCAGGAAGGAGTTAAGAGACCAACCTGGCCAACATGGTGAAACCCTGTCTCTACCAAAAATAGAAGGGCGTAGTGGCAGGTGCCTGTAATCCCAGATGCTCAGGAGGCTGAAACAGGAGAATTGCTTGAACCCAAGAGGTGGAGGTTGTAGTGAGTTGAGATTGCTCCACTGCACCCCAGCCTGCGCAGCAAGAGTGAAACTCCATCTCAAAATAAATAAATAAAAAGACATTCATCTCCATATGCAAAACCTGTCCTTACAGGCCAGGTGCAGTGGCTCGTGCCTATAATCCCAGAACTTTGGGAGGCCGAAGTAGGTGGGTCACTTGAGATCAGGAGTTTGAGACCAGCATAGTCAACATGGTGAAGCCACGTCTCTACTCAAAATCAAAAAATTTGCCAGGTGTGGCGGCACACACCCGTAGTCCCAGCTACTCTGGAGGCTGAGGCATGAGAATCGCCTGAACCCAGGAGGTGCTGGTTGCAGTGAGCAGAGATCTTGCTACTGCACTCCAGCCTGGGCGACAGAGTGAGACTGCGTCTCAAAACAAAACAAAACAACAACAAAAACACCTGTCCTTCCAGTCGTCACTTCCTACTACACCTGCTTCTCAGCCCCAACACTGCCAATGCCGCAGGGGCCCCAGCCAGGGTGAGGAACCAAAACTACTCTGCCTTGCTGTTTCAGGAGCCACCACGAAAGAGGCGCACATGCAGGGTCAGAGCCTATTTACTCTTCACTGACTAGCTCCCCAGGACTTCGGACACCCATCAGCTGTGTCTCCCAAGGAGACCAGGGGAGGAGGAACAAAAGGGGAGACGAATTTAGTAACTCTATTCAGAGGTGAGAAAAGCAATCTGCTCTTTAGCTCCAGAGGACAGGAGGAGAGCTCTGACCAGCAGCAGTCCAGAGCTCTTGCAGCGAGTGACTGACACTGCGCACACAATGAATGAGGAGGGTGATAGGGTGAAAGGAAGTGGGAGGCTTATGGTGTCTTGCCGTGTGAGGTGTTAATCCGCGCGCAGATGCCTAACTCAAAACTCACAGGTGATGCTCATCTGTACAGAATCCTCCCTGTCCTGCGGGGCCGAGGGGCTCTCCCCACCCTCGAGGCACAGGGGGTGGGCACCAGAGCAGTCGAAAGGAGTAGGGAGGGAAGGGAGGGAAGGAGAAAGGGGAGGTAAGAAACTAGGAAAGAGGGAAAAGGTGGAAGCAAGGGAGGGGCAGTGCGCCCGCGTCTCCTAGGAAATGCCTCTCCGGCCTCGCCCCCGCAGAGGCAATTGTGATGTCACGCGTGGAACCTACAGACTCCTTGGTCCACCCTCAGGGTCGATGGAACCGCCCGCTCCCGCCCCGGCGTCGGGGTGGGCGCTGGTCCATGGGCCCCAGCCAAGACCCGAGCTTCAAAGGCAGCGGCCGGCGCTCGCGGTTAAGGCCGGGCGGAGCCTTCCAGTCAGACAGCCCAGATTTCCAGCACAACCCACGGGCGGCCCAGCAGGGCGCATGTTCCCAGTCCTCAATCATTGGCCCGCGGCTCGACGCAAGCCCGCCCCCGGCCCTAGCTCCGCCCCGGCCCAGCCCTGGGCCCCGCCTCCCGCGTGCACCGCCCTGGGTCCACGAGCCAGGCCGCGCCACGCCCCAGCTTCTGCCACGCCCCTCTTACCGCGGTGCCGTCTCACGTCCCACGAGCGCGCCTTGGGCTCGGTCTTTTCCTTAGTCCACCTTTCAGTTGTGAGCGTAGTTCTGACCCACATCGCTCTCCGCCGAAGTCTTCGTCTCCACAGGTCTCTTCCGTAAAATCCAACCCCGAGCCTCTGCCAGGCCGAGCCCTCCGCCCAGCCGTGAACTCGTCTAGGCTTCGACCCCGCCTAGCCCCTAACTCCGCCTCATTCTGGCGCAGCCCCCGCCCTCCTGCCCCTCCCCGCTCCAGCTGCGTGGTCTCCCCAGCCCGGGGCTCAGCGTCAGCCGCGTTCTTCATCCGGGGCCTCCCGGAGCCTCCCAGGCCCCTCTTTGTTCCCCCCGTAACCCTAGGATTTACCGTTTCTCTCAGACCTTAACTTTACAGGCCCAGCGCTCACCACCCATCCCTGGTTCCAGATCGCAGTCCAAACCCCAGATTTTAACCCTGCCTCCAGATCGTAGCCCCAGCTGTTAGCCTTACACCCAGCCTTGTCCCAGCCCCGTTCTCAGCCCCGCCCCACTCTAAACGGCACACTGTGGCTGTTGAAAAACCGCGCGCTTTGGATGAAGAGACCTTCCAAACAGACTTGGTGTGAGCAACATGGCTGTTTATTCACCTGGGTGCAGGTGGGCCAAAGCCGAAAAGGGCATTAGCAAAGGGCAGTGGGAAAAGAGTTGGTGTTATAGGTTTGGGTAGTGTTTTGGGGGCGGGGGTGTTGCAGAGTAAGATCAGTTACAGTGGTGGGGTAGGGGGCAAGGAGTATACTTGACCACAAGTTCCGTTACAATGGCAGGGTTGAGTGAGTGGTATTTACATTATCATAAGGACAGTTAAGATAGCAGGGTTGGGTGAGGGGCTAGTCCAGGGAAGCGATGAGGGACAATGGCGAACGCAGGCAGGGGGTGGGAGACATCAGCCGAGGCTAGCTGGACTTCAGACTTTCAGACTCCAGGTTGCAGATGGAGACCTGACACCTGCCCGCTCCCTGCCCCGCGGACCCTCGGGAACCCTGCGGCACACCACTTCTGCCCGCCGGCGATTGAGGGCCTCCCGGTGTCGCCATCTCCACCCCACCGTCCTGGCTTCGAGGTCCCTCCGGCTCCGGAGGAGGCCGGCCTTCCCCTCTCTTTGTCCACAGGCCTCTCCCAAGGCCTAACCCCCCGGTGAAAACCTGATGTGGGCTCCCAGCCCCCGAGCCACCCCGCAGCGTTCCCCGCCCCCGGCCCCTATGGGACACCCTGTTCCAGAGACAATAATGCCAGCTAGAGAGTCCGTTCAGGCCAGGCGTGGTGGCTTATGCCTGTAATCTCAGCACTTTGGGAGGCCGAGGCGGGTGGATCGCCTGAGGTCAGGAATTCCAGACCAGCCTGACCAACACGGAGAAACCCCGTCCCTACAAAAAATATAAAAAATTAGCCGGGCGTGGTGGCGCATTCCTGTAATCCCAGCTACTCAGGAGGCTGAGGCAGGAGAATCGCTTGAACCCGGGAGGCAGAGGTTGCAGTGAGCCAAGACCTAGCCATGGCACTCCAGCCTGGGCAGCAGAGCGGGACTCAGTCTCAAAAAAAAAAAGTTCGTTTCTGTCTCTGTAAGCTTGTCCCGTGTCTGGAGAACAGGGCCAGCTGCATTCATAGGAACCTCATCCCCTCAGGTACAACATACACACTCATGCACATATCTCACAGCACACAGAAATATCAACTCAACCACACACAAATACAACATGCACACAGAGCACAGAACTCGCACACCCGGTGCAGCACAAACACCACAAACACCTGGACTGTGGTGCTGGCTTCACACACAACACATCTGCTAACAGGCAAGGCAACGGTGAGGAGCACAGTGCTGTGAGGGAGCAGAGATGGAAAAAATGATGACAGGAGAATGTGAAGTTATCGCCACATCACCCACATTCCATGCACCACACTCCTCCATTTCTCTCTGCACCAGTTTCCAAAGCCAAGATGGAGAGGAGGGAAAAGGATGGACTTCACACGTTTTTTTTCCACCATCATCCACATCTCTGCTGCTGCTGTTGCTCTGCCTGATCCCCACCTTCACTTTCCTCCAGACCTAAGTCCAGAGTGGGTAGGGCTGCTGCCCAGTCCCTCCTTCCCTTGGTAGCTCTAGAGAGTCTAGGAACTGCAAGGGAGGGGAAGCCAGGATGGGAAGTGTCCAGAAAAGCCATCCATCCTGGTGAGAATGGAACCGGGCATGGAACAGAGCACTTGCCAACTTGGAGCCAGAATCTGCTTTCTAACCTGGACCCTCCTTAGACTCCCAGGATGACACAAGGCCATAAGTCCTCCTTTGTTGACCCAGATGTCTGAGGTACTTCCAGCTATTCTGGAACTCAAGGTCAGATGTCAACAAGGAGCCAGGGTCTTGGTCACCCTTCCCCATACAAAAGTTGATAAACAAAAAAGAAAGTTAATGGTTATAATAACTAAGGTTTTTGCCAGGCGCAGTGGCTCACACCTGTAATCTCAGCACTTTGGGAGGCCCAGGCAGGTGGATCACGAGGTCAGGAGTTCAAGATCAGCCTGGCCAATTTGGTGAAACCCTGTCTCTACTAAGAATACAAAAATCAGGGCCGGGTGCAGTGGCTCAAGCCTGTAATCCCAGCACTTTGGGAGGCCGAGGCGGGTGGATCACGAGGTCAAGAGATCGAGACCATCCTGGTCAACATGGTAAAACCCCGTCTCTACTAAAACTACAAAAAATTAGCTGGGCATGGTGGCACGTGCCTGTAATCCCAGCTACTCAGGAGGCTGAGGCAGGAGAATTGCCTGAATCCAGGAGGTGGAGGTTGCGGTGAGCCAAGATCGCGCCATTGCACTCCAGCCTGGGTAACAAGAGCAAAACTCCATCTCAAAAAAAAAAAAGAATACAAAAATTAACCGGGTGTGGTGGCATGTGCCTGTAATGCCAGCTACTCTGGAGGCTGAGGTAGAGAACTGCTTGAACACAGGAGGCAGAGGTTGCAGTGAGCCAAGATCGCACCATTGTACTCTAGCCTGTGTGACAGAGTGAAACTCCGTCTCAAAAAGAATAATAATAATAGGCCGGGCGCGGTGGCTCAAGCCTGTAATCCCAGCACTTTGGGAGGCCGAGGCGGGTGGATCACGAGGTCAAGAGATCGAGACCATCCTGGTCAACATGGTGAAACCCCGTCTCTACTAAAAATACAAAAAAGGAGCTGGGCATGGTGGTGCATGCCTGTAATCCCAGCTACTCAGGAGGCTGAGGCAGGAGAATTGCCTGAACCCAGGAGGCGGAGGTTGCAGTGAGCCGAGATCGTGCCATTGCACTCCAGCCTGGGTAACATGAGTGAAACTCTGTCTCAAAAAAAAAAAAAATAATAATAATAATAATAATAACAATAATAACGAAGGTTTTTGAGCTCATCTTATGTGTGTATGTTAGTACTTTATCTTATTTTATCCTTATGACCTCATGAACTCAGTATTATCAGATGAGGAAATTGAGGCCCAGAGGATAAGTGATTTGCCTGCATTCTCATAGTAAGAGTGTACAGCAAGGATTCAAACATTCAAACTCAGGTCCTTCTGAATTAGAGCCAGAGTCCCTACCCTCCCTGGGCTGTGTGGTCAACCCCCAAACAACAACAACAAAAAAATAAAATCCAAAACTCAATTACTTCTTACTTTGTTTCCTTTGGAAAAATATTTCTTTTCCTTTTTTTTTTTCTTTTGAAACAGAGTCTTTTTTTTTTTTAAGATGAGGTTTCACCATGATGGCCAGGGTGGTCTTGAACTCCTGACCTCAGGTGATCCACCCACCTTGGCCTCCCAAAGTGCTAGGATTACAGGCGTGAGCCACTGTGCCTGGCCTGAAACAGAGTCTTGCACTGTCGCCCAGGCTGTAGTGCAGTGGCACAATCGTGGCTCACTGCAATCTCTGCTTCCTGGGTTCAAGCAATTCTCCTGCCTCAGCCTTCCTAGTAGCTGGGACTACAAGCGTGTGCCACCACACCCAGCTAATTTTTTGATATTTTTAGTAGAGACAGGGTTTCACCTTGTTGGCTAGGATGGTCTCGATCTCCTGACCTTGTGATCTGCCTGCCTCAGCCTCCCAAACTGCTGAGATTACATGAGTGAGCCACTACACCTGGCCCTTTTTTTTTAGATGGAGTCTTTTTTTCTTTTTTTTTTTCTCAAACAAGGTCCATCGTACAATCCAAATTAGATGGAGTCTTGCTCTGTCACCCAGGCTGGAGTGCAGTGGCACGCTCAGCTCACTGCAACCTCCGCCTCCTGGGTTCAAGCAATTCTCCTGACTCATCCTCCCAAGTAGCTGGAATTACAGGCACACACCACCACGCCCAGCTAATTTTTGTATTTTAATGGAGATGGGGTTTCACTATGCTGGCCAGGCTGACCTCGAACTCCTGAATTCAAATGATCCATCTGCCTTGGCCTCCCAAAGTGCTAAGATAACAAGCATGAACCACCGCGCCACCCAGGCTGGAAAAGTATTTCTTTCTTTCTTTTTTTTTTTTTTTTTGTGGAGACAGGGTTTCATCAGGCTGGTCTTGAATTCCTGACCTCATGATCCATCTGCCTTGGCCTCCCAAAGTATTGGGATTACAGCGTGAGCCACCTCACCCAGCCTTTTTTTTTTTTGAGATAGGAGTCTCGCTGTGTTGCGAGGCTAGAGTGCAGTGGCGCGATCTTGGCTCACTACAACCTCCGACTCCCTGATTCAAGCTATTCTCCTGCCTCGGCCTCCTGAATAGCTGGGATTACAGGAGCCTGCCACCACGCCCAGCTAATTTTTTGCATTTTTAGTAGAGACAGCGTTTCACCATGTTGGCCAAGATGGTCTTGATCTCCTGACCTGGTTATCCACCTGCTTTGGCCTAACAAAGTGTTGGGATTACAGGCATGAGCCACCACGCATGGCCTGGAAAAGTATTTCTTAAAGGGAAGGCAAGAAAAAGGTGAAAAAAGAAAAAAGATTCCCCAGTGGTGAAAATTTGGGTATAAGCATGTGTGGGGAAAGGATCAGGGGAAAGGGCTCTCAAAGCCAGCCATCAGACCACACCCCGTGAGGGCCCGGTGCAGCCCCCAAACTGATCTTTCAGCTCCCAGCCTACCTGAACCTGCCCAGGGGCCCGGAGTGGCCAGCAAAGCATCCCCACAGCGGGGTCCAGTACCAAGATGGCCACACAGTCATGCCCATTCCATATTCCTCATCCCCAACAAAGAACTCCAGCCCCTAAACTGTTGTAACAAAGAAATTTTAATGCATAAAGGCACAGTAAGAGGCTGGAATCATTAGGCATTCTCATACACAAAGCATCCAGCAGGCTGAGCAAAAGAACAGGGGACTCTCTCTCCCTCTATTGCTGGGCACCCTGGAGAGTCCCCTGAGGAGCAGGGGGCATCCAGTCTTTGGCACAGTGCCTGGGGGCAGGAAGTGACTAGCATGGTCCCAGCTACCCCTCTGGGGATATTGCCACCAAGAGGCAGCTCTTTGGTCTGGATAAAGTCAGTGCAAATGTCCAGGGGTCAAGCTCTGGGGGAATGAAGGTGGCACAGTACCCCAGGGCTGGGCAGTCTCTGAACAGTCTCCTCAACCTCTCATGGGCAACATGTGGGCTTCTTCTTGCTGGCAGTTAGGTAGAGGTTGCTGTCATTACTGTTGATGCCTAAAGAAGGGTGGGAAATATGTGAAGCAGGATCGGAGACTCACTGTGCCCTCTGCCACCCTCAACCAGGCAGGCACTCACGGACAACATCCCCAATTCGTCGGGCCCCTGATTTCTCCAACTCAGCCAGCACATTGGCCTCAAAGGTCAGTGCTGCCACACGGAAGAAGAATTCTCGGACATTCTCACCTGATACAAGGAGCAGATAGGTTGTTCAGGGACAGTGCTGGGAATGGGGGCACAGGGCACAGCTGGAGGTGTAGCAGTGACAGGAGAGGCAGGCAGGAGTGCCACAGCAGAGGCCTGAAGCCTCCAACTCACCAGTGAGAGATGAGACTGCCCAGTACTCAGCCTTCATCTCCTGGGCCACCTTGAGGGCGTCTTTCTCCATCAGCGCATACTGAGCTGGGGTCTGAGGGAAGGTCAGAATCAGAGGGGGGCATTCCCTCACCAAGATGGGAAGTCCCCCCACTGGCACACTCACACTCAGGTCCTTCTTGGAACCTACGAGGAAGAGAAGCACACTGGAAGGGTCATTCTCCTTCAGGGCATCAGCCAGCCACTGCCTGCCATGGGTGGTGAAAGTGAGGGAGGAGTGAGCCTGCTGGGCCCGTCCCGCTGACATTCATATGTCCAATGACCCCCTCTCTGGTCCTACATGCATTCTTCTTCTTCCTGACCACCCCTCTGTTCTGAACCCTCTCTTCCAGGAGCCTCTCATTATATTGCAGGATGTTCACATACTTGGTATGTTCCAGAGATGCCACATCATTCAGGTTGAAGACAATGATGATGGCTGGAAGAGTGGCAGAAACAGCCGCAGGTTGACAGGGAAGCCACGACTGGCTCATTTCCCCAATCCTTCCAGCTCTAGATGAGAAGCCATGTACACTCTGAGACCCACCTACCTCACTTCACCCAGCCACTTACCTTGAGCTCCCCGGTAGTAGGTTGATGCAATGCATTTGAATCTCTCCTGTCCAGCGGTATCCCAACTGGGAGGAAGGAGGGGTAAAGCACAGGTGTGTGCTGGGGGGTGTGGGTGCTGGGGGAAGGGATGGCTGGAAGGGGTGTGGAAGCACTCACAGCTGCAAACTGAAGGGGACGCCCAGCACCTCAAATCGTTCCATCTCAAAGTCCACTCCGATGGTGGCCTTATAATTCTTATCAAAGGTGTCTTTGCAGAACCTGAGAGGTTACCAGATGCTCCAATCTGGAGTCAGCCCACCTGGCTAGGCTTGGCCCCACCCTGCCCAATTCCGCTCCAGCACCCCCTTACCTATTAATGAGGCAAGTCTTCCCCACCGACAGGTCCCCCACCACAATGACCTTGGAGATCTTAAATCTGCTGGACACAAGAGTGGGCAAGGGGAGTGGGCAAGAGCTCTTTCACCCTAGGGAGTTCCAATGCTCCTGACTAGGTCCACGAAGGTAGCTGCACCTACGCTGAGGGACTTATAGACACCAGGCGTCCCAGGCAGCTGCCTGGACATTTGTGCTGGGGAGGAGGAGTGTTTTATGCTCCAGCATCAGAGAGACATGAATTTGAATCCCAGCTCTCACACTTATTAGGTGTGTGACTTTGGACACGTTATTTAGCCTCCCTAAGCCTCAGTTTCAACACTTAAGTGAAATTAGTATATATTTTATTGGGTAGTTGTGAAGGTTAAAATGAGATAAATGTCCTATATTCTAAGACACCCTCTCCCACCATTTTAACATCTCTGAAATCAGAATATATCTTAAGTGATGGTCTTTTCCATTCAATAAAGATAATGATAGTACCCAACACTGCCTGGGACACAGCAAATGCTCATTTAATAGTGGCAACTGTTATCAGTATTACCTTTAAAACCCACAATAAGACTCATCCCTATAAGCACAGCAAGACCCCTGCCCTAGAGCTCCATGGATGCTACGTGGGGATCTGAGCAGGTGACCGCCTTCCCATCTCAAGACACCTTAGTCTCTACTCAGGAATCCAGCTGCCACCCTCTACCCCACCCCATCTCAAAAAACTCACAACCTTGTTGGAAAGAGAGGAGAGAGCACGGCGGCTTAAAGAGAGGAAATAACCATACAGCTGGTAGGGGCTGAAATGAAGCCCCAAGAGGGAGGTTGTTTACCCTTGCTATGGCTAGTTTCCTGGGACCTCCTCTCTTTGTTATGGGTGTCCCTAACTCACCCCACGGTGCCTGTCCGGTGCTCCTGGCAGGCGCAGGTGACGCGGGGGTGGAAGTCTTTGTGCACGTGCAAAGCGGCCTCCTTCCTCAGGCACTTAGTGGGAGGGATGATAGAGAATGGAGCTTCCGGCTCCTGGCCCTTGTCCCGCAGCCAAGCAGCCCGGGTAGGGGTGGAGTGCAGGGACCACCCAGAAGCAGCAGGCCTAGCTGGGTGGCAGGGCTGGGCCCAGTCCTCTAACTCGTCAGGTGCCGCCTCCTGCTCCCCGCCCACACCCTGGGCTGTAGACAGAAGCCTGACGTGGCTCTGGCGCCTACCTGGGGCAGCTCCGCCAGGACGCGGTCCCTCCGCACTGGAGCCAGAATGTTCATCCTGCCTGCGGCCTTGCGGGGCGCCTTGAGAGGGAGCCGAGGCCGGATCCACGCCAGCGACCCGAGCGCGTGGAGACCCGACGATCACCCGCGGCCGGGGTGTTCCGACTATAACTCGGGGCCACGGACACCCTACGGGAGCCCGCGGTCTCGGAGACGCTACGACCACCGCGGGCCACGGAGATGAAACAATCAACCGGGGCCGGGGCGAACCCACAATCACTCGGGCCCTGGGCGTCCCGAAGATGACTCTGGGGCGAGGAGACTCCTCAGCCGCCAATTGGGGGCGGGGAGTCCCGTCTGGTGGGGGCCGGGCCCGCGCAGACCCTACGATTACGCGGGGCCGGACAGTGCCTACAATAACCCGGGGCCGCGGAGACCCGACGTCATCTCGGGGCTGAGGCGGCCCTACCATAACAGAACGGCCCGGGGGCGCAGAGCTGCCCCGCCACACGGGGTCAGTGTGCGCAGGGGCGGCGCTGCCAAGGCCTGCAGGCCGCTGGAGGAGGGGGCGAGGGGACCAGTCCGGCTGCAGGGCTTCGCGTCCCACTCCGCTCGGGCTGCGCGAACGCGGTAACACGATCCCCGGAAATTCCTGGAGAAGGGCCGCCCCCTGCCCCTCTCCTGGCCGCTGCAGGCCTCACAGCCCGCCCTCGCCTCCCTCTCCTCTCCTCCCCTCTGCGCTGCCCAGCTCAGGCTCCCTCGCCTGACGCCTCACCGGGCACCGGGACCGCCCCCAGCCAGGCTGGAGCCTATCCAGATAGGAACTCCCCAGCCTCCTCTCCCCTGCACCTCTAAGGCGGGCTGCGCCTTCATGGGGACCCTTACCCAGCTGAATTAGTGATGGGGAATCGGAGACTGCTGCGCAGCATCTGGCGATGCCAGGAACCCGAGGGGAGGGGAAAGGGGGAGAGAAGGGGCCCAAGGAGAGGCGGCGCTTCCCTCCTCAACTCCAGGCCCAGGAGGTGACTCATAGAGTCTGCCCCGCTCGCCCTTCTGCCCTGGGATGTGGGAGGGGGGAAGCGTTTGAAGGGGGTGCCAGGGTTAGAATGAGGTGCCCACCGAGGAGACAGACGTCTGAAGTCTGGCATCTTTTCCTTCAAGGCTGCTGTGGAGATTGGGAGATGGAAGGGCTGAAGATCAAGTTGCTTCCCTCCACAGAGGATAAAGAAGGGCTAAGTGGATCTTTGGGGTGCTCTCCGCTCTGGGAGGTGGGGACTCCCCTCCGGTGTGGGTGTTCATTGTTCTGACCCCATTGGAATCTTTAACCCCTAAGGACAACTCCTATTTGCAAAGTCCTGCCGGATAGGAGAGCGGGTAGTGCACAATCAATTTCACCGTCAAAGGGGATGTCTCTGGATTTATGAGGGGAGAGGGAAGACAGAAAGGATCAAGGGGGATGGGTTAGGCACACACCTCAGGAGAAGCAAACATGAGTGTTATGAAACCTTGTTCTGTGTCTGGAGCTGAATTTGAGGATGTAAAGATGACCCGGACATGGAAGGGAAGACTAGTTTAGGGTAAGGGACTGTGAGTGAAGTTACTCACAGGAAGAACTAGCGAATCTTGGAGAAATGCATGGAATTTTCATAGAACTTCAAGAGCATTATCAGAAATGCAGGAAAACTGAGTGCCAGTGCCGCAGGTGAAGAGGGGCAGGTGTGGCCTCCTTGTACTTCTTCTGACACTCGTCCCCCTCGTGACTCGATTTTTTTTTTTTTTTTTTTTTTTTTGAGACAGGGTCTCATTCTGCCAGCCAGGCTGGAATGGCTCACTGCAGCCTCGACCTTCTGGGCTCAAGAGATCCTTCCACCTCAACCTCTCAAGGAACTGGGACTACAGGCACGCACCACCATGCCCGGGTAATTTTGTATTCTTTTGTAGAGATGAGATTTCGCCATGTTGCCTAGGCTGGTCTTGAACTCCTGGGCTCGAAGCAATTCGCCCACCTCGGCCTTCCAAAGTGCCAGGATTACAGGCGTGAGCCACTGCGCCCGGCCCTGACTTGATTTTTTTTCTGCCACCAAGTCACTGTGTTATCGATTAATCACATTCCTCTCTGGACCTCAAGTTTCCACAGATGCTGGTTGAGCGAGTTCGACCGAGCAAATCCTGCTCCAGCACTCTAGAACTTAGCTGTATCTAACTCCCGAGTCAATCTAAATGTGTTCTTTCTGCTTGGCAGCGTTCCTGTCTCTTGGCGTGGCAATCCTCTTCCCTGAGACTGGCAGTTGATCAAGATGGGAAGCTCCTGGAACCAGACCCGAGCGACACCCGCTACGCGGGCCACTGCCCTGAGCAAATAAACGCGTGTCTTCCAAAAACTACAACCCCCATGAAGCTTTAGTGCCTTTGAGGGGAGGAGTGGTACATGCTAGGTCACGCTCGAAAAAGAAATTACACCTAACTACCGTTCCCAGAAGGCGCCACTCTGCAAATTACCCAGTCAGCTCTAAGTACAAAGCATCGCGAGTCTTTGGTGCGATTTGGCGCTATAAGCCCGTGAGAACGCGCACCGGAGACCCTTTTCACAAGATGGCGCCGAAAGCGAAGAAGGAAGGTGTGTGTTGGGGATGGGGGCCACTGTTGGTTTACCGGGGATCGTCGCGCCGCAGAGCGAACGAATTGGGAATATGGCAGCTGGACTAGGCCCTGACGGTTGTGCTCCGAAGCTGCTCCCCGCGTTTCGGACACGCAGTATACGTGGGCCGCGTGGGCCCAGCCTCATGGGCTGAGTTCCTGTGGAGGGAGTTGGGGAGGTCACCCCACCGGCATTATCACCCGCCAGGGAGAGCCAGACAGTCGGCTCTGGGAAGCTGTACGCATCCACAAGTTGGCGCTCCATGTACCCGGGTCTGTAAGGAGTTAGTGCCCTCAGCTTTACTCATTTTCCTTCTGGTTCACCTTTGATCGGGCTACATTACCCGCCCCCTCCGCGTGGTTTTGCGATGGGGTATGTGTAAAATTCGTAGGACATGTTCTGGAAAGTTATCAAGCTTTCCTTCAGTGCTACTTTGTTTCTTAGTCGTATTCCTGGAGCTGCGAGTTGGTCACTTTCGCCTCTGGTATCGTGCATATGATGGAAAAATTTTAATCTCCTGACACTTGTGATGTCTGCAAAGGAACCACTGATGCACGTGTGGCCAGGGTCGCCCACTGTAGTTCTTGAGGCCGGAAGTGGCCTATTTTTAAATTCCTCACCCTCATTTTCTTCTCTCCCAGCTCCTGCCCCTCCTAAAGCCGAAGCCAAAGCGAAGGCTTTAAAGGCCAAGAAGGCAGTGTTGAAAGGTGTCCACAGCCACAAAAAGAAGAAGATCCGCACGTCACCCACCTTCCGGCGGCCCAAGACACTGCGACTCCGGAGGCAGCCCAAATATCCTCGGAAGAGCGCCCCCAGGAGAAACAAGTCAGTACTGCCCCACTACCCATGAAAAGATTTGGGTATCCTCCATTGGTAATTGGGAAATTTCACTCACTCTGTGTGATGGCTTCTCAGACACAAGTTGTGTTCAGTGTGCTTCTCTTTTTTAATTTTAAATAGAGATGGGTTTCACCATGTTAGCCAGGATGGTCTCATGATCCGCCCGCCTCGGCCTCCCAAAGTGCTGGGATTACAGACGTGAGCCGTTCCCGGCCCAGTGTGCTTCTCTAATTGGAAGAGTGAGGATATTGTTTCTGCCCCATTTACAATGCTGGCAAGAATTCTTTTTAAATCATCCCAGTGGCTCAGCGTGGTAGCTCACGTCTGAAATCCCAGCACTTTGGGAGGCCGAGGCGGGTGGATCACCTGAGGTCAGGAGTTTGAGACCAGCCTGACCAACATGGAGAAACCTCGTTTCTATTAAAAATACAAAATTAACTGGGTGGGGTGGCTCCTGCCACCTTGAACTGGGGAGGCGGAGGTTGTGGTGAGCGGAGATTGTGCCATTGTACTCCAGACTGGGCAACAAGAGTGAAGCTCTGGGCTGGGCGCGGTGGCTCAAGCCTGTAATCTCAGCACTTTGGGAGGCCGAGGCGGGTGGATCACGAGGTCAAGAGATCGAGACCATCCTGGTCAACATGGTGAAACCCCGTCTCTACTAAAACTACAAAAAATTAGCTGGGCATGGTGGTGCGTGCCTGTAATCCCAGCTACCCAGGAGGCTGAGGCAGGAGAATTGCCTGAACCCAGGAGGCGGAGGTTGCGGTGAGCCGAGATCGCGCCATTGCACTCCAGCCTGGGTAACATGAGTGAAAATCCGTCTCAAAAAAAAAAAAAACCAGTCTCAAAAATTTCTGGTAGGTTAATTATTGCTTCACATCTGGTCACGGTTTGAAAACTTTTTTGGGGAGAGTATAAAATAGAATTGCAGAGATTCCTTCCTCATAGCTCCAACTGCTGTAGGGAACAATTCTTGAGGGTAAGAATGTGGGTTGATTCTTTATTGATAATGGGGATTCCATTATTTATATTTTGCAGTTAGGGCCTGCAGTGGTGTATAGAAGCTTTGTTCCATTCATTTTCCGAAATTTTCATACTGCTGAAGGAATGGTTGGGGGAAATGAGCAAAAGCTTGGGCACTTGAGTGTATTTGAGCTACCAGTAATAACTGGCTTTTTAGCGACCACAGATTTGAGTAGAGCATTGGTAATAGTTACTACCAATGGGTTTTTGCTGCTTCTGCTCTTTCCTAAGAGAAAGAATGAGAAAAGAAAAAGCCGGGCACGGTGGCTCATGCCTGTAATCCCAGAACTTTGGGAGGCTGAGGCAGGCAGATGACCTGAGGTCGGGAGTTCCAGACCAGCCTAACCAACATGGTGAAACCCCATCTCTACTAAAACTACAAAATTAGCTGGGCATGGTGGTGCATTCCTGTAATCCCAGCTGGTCAGAAGGCTGAGGAAGGAGAATTGCTTAAACCTGGGAGGCAGAGGTTGCAGTGAGCCGAGATCATGCCATTGGACTCCAGCCTGGGCAACAAGAGTGAAACTCTGTCTCAAAAAAAAAAAAAAAAAAAAAAAGTGGACTGTGTTCATATGGGAAAGCAGTTCACAGACTGTCTTCCTGCCCCTCCCCCACCAAGTTGGACCTAGAATTTAGTGTGAAGTTTAGACCTGACCTGGTTTCAGACCAGGAAAGTAGTGTCTGAGTAAACAGCCTGCCGCTGACTTTTAGTGGGGAAGGCTGTATTATAGCTGCGCTCAGCTGTACGTAAGAATTTGCTCTTGAGGGATGGAGGTGGTGGCTCACACCTATAATCCCAGCACTTTGGGCTTTGGGCGGCCAAGGCAGGTAGATCATGAGGACAGGAGTTGTTCGAGACTAGCTTGGCCAATGTGGTGAAACCCTGTCTGTATTAAATATAAAGGTAGCTGGGTGTGGTGGCGCTCACCCAGAGGTTGCACTAAGCCAAGATTGTGTCACTGCACTCCAGCCTGGGCGACAAATCCATCTCAAAAAAAATTTTTGATTTCAAGAATTGGTGGTCCTCAATCATAAAGCCAGTTTTCAGCAACCAAAAGGGGCAGAAATGCATGAGTCAGCCTCAAGAACTCTACCAAATAGGTGATTTACTTACTGGAGACTCACTATCTCACTAAGCTGGAGTGCACTGGCACTCACTGCAGCCTCTGCCTCCCAGGTTCCAGCGATTCTCCTGCCTCAGAGCCTCCCAAATAGCTGGGACTACAGGCGCACTCGACCACACCCAGCTAATGTTTGTATTTTAAGAGACAGGGTTTCACCATGTTGACCAGGATGGTCTTGATCTCTTGACCTTGTGATTTGCTCACCTCGGCTTCCCAAAATGCTGGGATTACAGGCGTGAGCCATTGTGCCTGGTCAGATGATTCTTAAATCACTTGAGAAGTAAGAGCCCTTCAAGAGAAAGAAAATGCAGCATGTTCTGCCCCTGGGGTTGGGGCTTCGGGCCCTTAGATTTCAGGGTGCAGATGATGACACTGTAAAGCGACCAAAGTCTGAACAAAATGATTGGTACTTCGTTGTCTGATGCACCTAGGCTTTCCTCTCTCTGGACTACAAAAGAGAGCCCATCTTTCTATTGGTTCCGGGCCAGGTGACCCCATTTTGCCTCTCTCCCAGACTGGACCACTATGCTATCATCAAGTTTCCGCTGACCACTGAGTCTGCCATGAAGAAGATAGAAGACAATAACACACTTGTGTTCATTGTGGATGTTAAAGCCAACAAGCACCAGATCAAACAGGCTGTGAAGAAGCTCTATGACATTGATGTGGCCAAGGTCAACACCCTGATTCGGTGAGTTGGGCCTCAAGGGATATGGAGTGCACTGGACCAGCAGGCTGCAGCCAGAAATCCTGTGGTTCATAAGCTCTCCTTGATGTTTATAGTCCCAGCTACGTAGGAGGATCGCCTGAGCCCAGGAGTTTGAGACTGCAGTGACCTATGATTGTCCCATTGTACTCTAGCCTAAGCAATCAAGCAAGACCCTTCCAAAAAAAAAATTCCCCTGGACCTTTTAGCAGGGGGAAAAGTTTCCTTGATTTACACTTGGGGTTAGAAGTAGGTTTCCCAGTGTATGAGCCTTGAGGCAGGAATTACAGACTGCTGTAATTACAGACCTTTGTAAGGACCTCAGGCAGCACTTTCTAGGACTTGATTGTGGGGTTCATTGGTGCTCATTTTCTGGGGCCTCTGGAATGAGACAGTTCCTTGCAAATTACCTTGGTTTAAGTCTCAACTTGGCCTATGATGTTTCCCTTAAGAGAATTGGCTTTGTAGCTTCATAATGTCCTCTGGGTTAATGATAGAAAAATCATTATTGGAAAGGAATGACATAAACAAAGGAACCACTGAAGTGCCAGAGGACTGGGGGAGGAAGTGGGGGAGGGTGTGTGGGCAGTGAAGGCGGCAGGGATTAAGGCTTCCTTCTCTACCCCAGGCCTGATGGAGAGAAGAAGGCATATGTTCGACTGGCTCCTGATTACGATGCTTTGGATGTTGCCAACAAAGTAAGTTTCCTTCCTACAAACTCCTTAATGCTCATCCCTGGGTGCAAATGATGCATATGCTAGTGACCAAAGCCTGGCTTTTGCTGATTAGTCATAATTAACTGACTCCACTTGTATCCTTAAGCCTTACCCTCATGTTCCTCATTTTGCTTTCTAAAAATTCCAGTTTAATCTTCATGTTTCAACGCCAGTAACAAAGCTGCTTTTTGTTTTTCAGATTGGGATCATCTAAACTGAGTCCAGCTGGCTAATTCTAAATATATGTATATCTTTTCACCATACACATGCCTCTCTGTCAATTTCTGGTTGGGTGGGAGGCCATACACAGGAACTGTTGTTGTAACTTGCCCACTGCTTGGGCAAGACTCCTGTTCTGCTTATCCTTTTGAAACTCACCCTGCCACTCACTCCTCCATCCTTGATCATTCCACAGATCTTTGTGACTAGCGTTAGTGTCCTAGGAAAACCAGAACTCAGAGCTTGCCTCCATGGTTGAGCGTAACAAAAAGCTTTACAAGAACCCCTTTCATCCCTCGAAGAGGCTGTGTGTGAAACCAGTGCCCAGAGTTTGAAGCACGTTAGCATCCATTTCAGAGGAGTGTGGGTTGGCTGGCTTTCCAGTAGCATTTTGTCCTCACACACCCATTCGCTATGTCCAACCGGTCTGTCTGCTTCCCTCACCCCTTGCCCAATAAAGGACAAGGACTTCAGAGAAGTGCTTTCATTAGTGTTTTCAATAGTGTGGGCGCAGGCTCCGAAGGTAGAGAGGCTTGCCCCAGAGGACGCCGGGGCTTGGGGCTAAGTCCCAGTTTCCATGTGAGGCTGTTTCTGTTCTTGTCCCGTGTTTGCTGTCCCAGGCTCTGTGCCTCTCACTCAGTCAAAAACTTGTCTTTGTGTTGCTGCCTGGGGACACGCTCAGGGCAGAAGTCGGAGCGGAGGAGGCGGGAAAAGTAGATTAGGATCATCACGTCCAACATGAGCAGGACAGCCAACAGGAAGGTGCCCAGGGTCCTCTGGCCCACATAACGCAAGAAGAAATGGGTGAGGTAGGCCTGAGGGGCCAGGCGGAAGAGAAAGTACATGACCAGGTTCACATACTTGTTAACCCGGTAGAGGAAATGATCCTGGGCATTACTAATTTTCATCATCATGCGGATGGTGAGGAAGATGTTGCTGACTTCCACCAGCAGCGTTAAGACACCCCCACCGACAAAACTGCTCCAAAAGATCCCAGAGAAGAAGGCACCCATGGCCTAGAGGAAAAAGGAGAATAAGTTAGGGAACCCAGATGCAAATGCTTTCCTGTAAGTTGATGGAGGACATCAGGTGGAGGACTGGAAAATCCCGAATTTCTTCCTTCTGGAATAAGTTTGTAGAGAATAAGATGCTTGGTTCTGTTCATTCAACATTGTTTAATTTTGATCCCTGCTCACAGCTTCCGGTTGTGGATGGTGTCTCCAGTCTACGGAGCCAGTGAGGCCATGGGTTGCTGGCCTCAGTGAATAAGCACACAGACTGCCAACCTCCAACATCCTAGCATAAGAAGTAGCACACAGGTTGGTGGGGGTGGGGTGTTGAGAAAATAGGCCGCCTCCCAGGTTCAGGAACGCGGTTACTGGCACGAGGCCTATTCCACATAGACTGTTTCTCTTACCATGATGTGATGGACAAGGTATTCCCAAGAGGCTCGCGCCTGACCGCTAGCCACGATGTCCACCGTGTCATGGATGAAATACCCTAATGGAGGGATGAGACAATAGGTCACGAACGACTGAACAGGCTGCTTCCTGTCCCCAACTAGCCTTCTGCTTCCTGGGCAAGACCTACCTGCAGAGAAGCAAACGAGCAAATAGCCAGAAAGTGACCATGCTGTCTCAATCTCCACCAACATGTCGGGGGTCTGCCATACACTGAGGGAGGGAAGAAAGGAGGCTCACCTTTCCGGTTACCCTTGCCAGCTCCTGGGGGAGTCTCGGCTCGCGCTAGTGGCTGACTGAGAAGCTAGGAGCGGCTGGGCAAAACCCAAGTGCCTCGAGTTTCCCAGGTGCAATCCCCCTCCCCTGAGGTCACAGCAGCTCCTGGTTGGATAGGATACCAATGGGATCAGATGAGAATGCGTGGCCTCAGCCCGCCAGTGAGCGATGGGGGTAGTAACAGAAGAGCCGGCCCCAGCTCCCCGCTCAGGATTCCCCGGCCACCTCATTCCCACAGTCGCTCACTCACCACAGCAGCGCCCAGATCCCCGATACAATGGAGTGAGCGAAGGAGACGAGAAGGTTGTGCCAGCGCCAGGTGCGCAGGGGGTCGGCGTGCACGTGCAAGGGTAGGGGCAGGCGACAGAGCGCGCGCCGGAGCGCCCGGAAGGTCAGCGTGGCGCCCAGGAGCAGCGGCAGGGCGGGGTGCAGCAGTGGGGGCATGCTGTCCGCCCGTCCGCCTCCTAGGGCTGTTCTGGGACCGGGATCCCACTCGAGCCGGTCCACCACAGCCGTCTCTACCGCCAGCCGCCAGCCCCACACAGTTTCGACGGAGCCCTCTAGGCCCCTTGGCTCCTCCCCGCCCTCCCCGCGAGGCCTCTGCCCCCGCCCCCAGCTGCCCTCGCCCCCGCCCCGCCCGCCTGCCCCCGCCCCTTAGGCGCCGCGGCCGCGCGAGCGGGTTGTACACCTGGCCGCCCGGCCCACGCTGGGCTCCCGCGGACTTCGGGCGACTGGGACCTGTGCTGGGGGAGCGCGCTGAGGCACCCCTTGCTGTCGCCTCCCGACTGCCGACGGAGTCCCCGCTGCCCTCGCTCGCTTGGCCTCATTAACCCGCGTCCCCACTTTCCCCGGGGCCACCGGCTCCCCAGCCCTGGGCGGTTACCGCGAGAGCTCTCTCCACTTTCTGGGCAGAGCTGGACGGGACCCGGCACGCCCACGCCCCCTAAGTCCCGGTCCTGGGGTGGGCTCGGGAGCCCAGCTTTCGACAGGGTTCTCCTCGCAGACCCAGTTCCCCGCACCGCACCACTCGCAGTCGTCTGGCCGGAAACCCGTTTTTACCCGTGCCTCCCGCGCCCGCAAGGGTGGGCACTTGGGAACTGCTGAGTAACCCATCGCCACCTCTCCCCGCCCGCTCTTAAGCTCCTAGGGCCGGGCGGCTGTCACAGTCCTCCCTCAGACAGTCCCGGCCCTCGGCCTGGCTCCCCAGAGTCTGGGCAGGCAAGATCGCCGATTTGCTGGGACTGCTGGGGTGACCCTCGCTCTCCAGGCCGGTGGCCCTGCGGCAGTTCCAGCTCCTGGCCACTAGGTGTCAGCCTGCCCTCACTGTGGTGCGGGCTCCCCCTCTCGCCTCCGAGCGAGGCAGCTGCTTTGGGGGAAAAGTAGGTAAAGTCTCGGCGAAAGGAGCAGCAGGTAAAAGCCAGCAAGGGAAGTGAAGCGGGGGTCGGGGCACGGAGAGATAAGAGGGTGGTAATACAGGAGGGAAGGGGAAAAGCGGGGGTGCTGCGGGAGGGAGGAAGAAGCTAAAAACCTGAGGCGCAAGGACCCAGGGACCAAGCCTTTTGAGTGTTTGCCTCCCCTTATGGCTCCAAGGTTACACATTAACCCCTGTGGGACTCCTAGGTCAACCAAGGCCCAGTCGGTTTCTAGGTGAGAGCACGGGCGTCCCGGGTGAGCGGCTTTTCCGCCCCGCCTCTTGGCTCACAGGCTGCTCTGTCCGCCGGCCGACACCGGCCTGAGCCAGCACCCTTCCAGCGGTCATTCCACGTGTCCGGGTTTGGGTACCCTTGCGAGGGCCAGGGCTGGAGCAGAAGCTAAAACGTCCCTTTCCTCACAATGCTCTAACATAGGATTAGAGCCCACTCTAACATAGGGACTCTAACCCTCAGCTAATGACCATCCTCCTCCTGAATACTGAGGGTTTTGTTTTTGTTTTTGTTTTTGAGATGGAGTCTCGGCCAGGCAAGGTGGCTCACGCTTGTAATCCCAACACTTTGGGAGGCCGAGGTGGGCAGATCACGAGGTCAAGAGATCGAGATCATCCTGGCCAACATGGTGAAACCCCGTCTCTACTAAAAACACAAAAATTAGTTGGGTATGCTGACGTGCACCTATAGTCCCAGCCGTTATTCGAGAGGCTGAGGCAGGAGAATGGCTTGAACCCGGGAGACGGAGGTTGCAGATAGCGTCATTGCACTCCAGCCTGGCGACAGAGGGAGACTCCGTCTCAAAAAAAAAAAAAAAAAAAAAAAAAAAAAAAAAAAAGAGAGAGCGAGAGGAGATAGAGTTTCCTTCTGTCGCCCAGGCTGGAGTGTGCAACGGCGCGATCTCGGCTCACTGCAATATCCGCCTCCCGGGTTCAAGCGATTTTTCTGCTTCAGCCTCCCGAGTAGCTGGAATTACAGGCACGCGCCACCAGGCCCAACTAATTTTTGTATTTTTAGTAGAGATGAGGTTTCACCATGTTGGCCAGGAACACCATGTTGGTCTTAAACTCCCGACCTTAGGTGATCCGCCCGCTTAGGCCTCCCATAGTGTTGGGATTACAGGCGTGAGCCACCGCGCCCAGTCGAATACTATTTTTTTTTTTTTTTAATAGAGATGGGGGTTTCTCCATGTTGGCCAGGCTGGTTTCGAACTCCTGACCTCAGGTGATCCGCCCACCTCGGCCTCCCAAAGTGCTGGGATTACAGGCATGAGCCACCGCACCCCGCCGAATACTAAATTTTTAAAGAGCTCCCGCAGAGCAGGAGCCAGGGAGAACCTGGAATTAACCTCACTTCCGGTCAAGAGCCTCGCTGGGCACGCTAACCAGCCCCCTGCCTCTGGGCTTCTGCCTTGAACTCATCCCGGAGAAACCGCGGTCTTTCCTTCTCCCCCAATGCTTTCAGGTTGTAATCCACCTCCGCCCCCGTCTTGCCCCGTAGGGTTCACGCTAGATGAGCACTGAAGGCAAAGTTCCCTCCTGCAGCGCGCGTGTGTGAAGGAGGAGGTGAGTGCTGACGAACGCGGTGCTCACTAGTCGGGATGGCCTGAGACTGTGTCACGTCCTCCCCAGGTGAATCAATTTACACAGCTCGGGATTTCCCCCGTCCCTCCCTAGGCAAACACGAAACTAGCTCTGCTGCCTTCTGCCGGGAGCACTGGTCTCGGTCGTTTTGGTAGTGTTTATCGTTTGCGTGCCAAGGAGAATCCGCTTTCTCCTGAAACAGCGTCACTCGTGGGCAAAGTGGGGGTCAATCCTCGCTTCCCACCCCCGCCCGGCCTGTGGGGTGCAACTCTCGGGAGCGCGACTTCCTTTCAATCTAACAAGCTTTACAAAGGCTGGGTATGTGCGTGGGAGGGGCAGATACCGTGCGGGGCGCGACCTATTTTCTTGCCCTATTCCTTGGCCCCTGCGTGGGGCAGGGTCGTGAGGGGAAAAGTGACGGCGTGTCGCAGCTGCAGGTGCGGTGCACTGCCACGAACACCGACGCGGTGCTGAACTCACGCCTAGCGCGCTGGCTCCGCCCCGCAAGCAGCTCGCCGCGAAGGGGCGGGGCCCAGAGTGGGCAGGTCCGCGCACGCGCCGCGTGGGGGACGGAAGTGAAACGCTTAAGAAATGAGATGGAGAAGTACGAGCGGATCCGAGTGGTGGGGAGAGGTGCCTTTGGGTGAGCCAGGGTCCTGGGGGAGGAACTGCTAGGGGAGAGGGAAAATGAGCTGCAATTCTGCCCGCGAAGTCGCCGCCCGCCGAGCCCCGCCCCAAGGCATGAGCGCCACTCTGGGCAGCCCCGCCCAAGCTTCCGGTCCCAGTCTCGCGGGGAGACTCCGCCTCTACGGAGGTCCCTCCCCTGACAAGCCCATTGCCCCGCCCACTGATTCTTTATTCGTTTGTTCAACAAATATTGAGTGCCACCTATGCATATCAGGCTTTGGGCGCTGGGTGTACAGTTAGAACCGGAACAGGCGTAGTCTTTTCCCTCTTGGAGCTTACTGACTATAGGAAATTTATACAATAGCCGGGCGGGGTGGCTCACGCCTTTAATCACAGCACTTTGGGAGGCTGAGGTGGGTGGATCACCTGCGGTACGGAGTTCGAGACCAGTCTGACCAATGTGGTGAAACCCCGTCT